TTTTTAACTGTTTTATGATGTTTTTGAGCATTGAATTTTGCCATTGTTAACCGCTCTGAGTCACCCCAGGGCTGAGAAGAGCAGTATACAAATATAGTAAATAAATAAATAAATAAATAAATAAATAAATAAATAAATATTTATTTTTCTAAAATAGTGATCACTTCACTCCATATCATTAGAAGTGTGCCTTGGAATAGGAGAGTGGTCTTTTCTCTCCTGCCACAGACCCAGTCCAATTTTCTCTAGCCACAGGCTTATACTGGTTAGGTGTCCCTTATTCACAATTCTAAATTCAGACATATTCCAAAATTGTCCATATGAGTGGCTGAGATAGTGACACCTTTCTTTTTTGATGGTTCAATATATACCAACTTTGCTTCATGTACAAAATTATTAAATATACTGTATAAAATTACTTTCAGGCTATGTGCATAAGGTGTTTATGAAACATTAATGAATTTTCTGTTTAGACTTGGGTCCCATCTATCTCTAAAATATCATTATGTGCATACAATACCCACAGCCACACATTCAGATATTCCAAAATCCATTTTTTTCTAGTTCCAAGCAGCAGATACAGACTCTTTTCATAGCAATCATCGAGGAAAGGAGAAAGTAAATTAGCTTTGACAAGGCAATAAAAATAATAATGCCACAGAAAAGAACTGCAATGTGACATTATGCCTCCTCTTTCCATAAAAGCCTCATTAGATCCCCACCCTAACCCACTCTTCAGCCCTGTGCTAGTCAGTATTCTTGGATGGCATGCTTTATGATGTGCTATTAACCTAGACTGCACCTTATATGTTTACTTAAGACACAAGGATGCTTTCCTTTTTTCTTTTAATCATGATAAGGTCAGGCATCCCATTGTCTCTTCTCTGCTGCAGTCCATTACATAAACTAATAGTTGTCTCGTTTATCTGATTGCTGTTTCTGTCACCTAAATGTAGTATTCAAAGAGGTACCAGCAAAGATTTACAGGAAAACAATCTTCAGGGGAAAAACATGATCTGGAAGGATCTCCTGTCTTCCTCCATAATTTAATTAGCATACTCACTTTGCAGGAAATGTTGACTTTTTTTGGGGGGGGGGGGGAGCAAAGAAAACCACAGGGGACAAAAAAAAATAAAACATTTTAAGAAAGCCTAGGTCTACTGTTGTGAGGGCCAATTATTTTTGCAATTTTGTAAATATGTTTTTGCCCAGAATGCACCAAAATGCATTCAAGGAGATGTGGAAGCAATATCCACCATTTGGAAATCCCTTGCCCCACAGTGAAGAAATGTTTTTTTTAAAGGGTTGTATTTCTAACATTTGTGAATGGGTGGTTCAGCCACTTCAGACCCAGGTGAGGTCTTTTTTAAAACACGAGATGTACAGAAAATGGGCTGCTGTGTGGTTTCCAGGCTCTATGGCTATGTTCTAGCAGCATTTTCTCCTGATATTTCACTTGCTTCTGTGACTGGCATCTTCAGAGGATCCTGCATCTTCAGAATATCCTCTAAAGATGCCAGCAACAGATAAAGGCAAAATGTCAGGAGAAGATGATGCTAGAACATAGCCATACAGCCCGGAAACCACACAGCAGCCCAGTGATTCCAGCCATGAAATACATTGTACAGGAAAGGTTTTCTGCTCAGTGGGTTGCTGTGAGTTTTCCAGGCTGCATCTATGGCAGGCATCCTGAGAGGTTATGAAGTCTGTTGGAAACTAGGCAAGTGGGGTTTGTGTATCTGTGGAATGTTCAAGGTGGGAAAAAGAACTCTTGTCTGCTTGAGGCAAGTGTGAATGTTGCAACTGGCCAGCTTGATTAGCACTGAAAAGCCTGAAACTTCAAAGCCTGGCTGCTTCCTGTCTGGGAGAATCCTTTGTTGGGAAGTGTTAGCTGGCCCTGATTGTTTCCTCTCTGGAATTCCCCTGGGGTTTTTAGTGTTGTTCTTTATCTACTGTCCTGATTTTAGAGTTTTTTAAAATACTGGTAGCCAGATTTTGTTCATTTTCATGGTTTCCTCCTTTCTGTTGAAATTGTCCACATGCTTGTGGATTTCAGTGGCTTCTGACATGGTAGTTGTGAGAATGGTCCAGCATTTCTGCATTCTCAAATAATATGCTGTGTCCAAGTTGGTTCATCAACTGCTCTGCTATGACTGACTTCTCTGGTTGAAATGGTCTGCAGTGTCTTTCATGTTCCTTGATTCATGTTTGGGCAATGCTGCGTTTGGTGATCCCTATGTAGACTTGTCCATAGCTGCGTGATATACAGTAAACTGCTTACTTTTTATTTATAAATATCTCCATTTTCTGTAGGAATAGGTACAATGGAGAGCTTCAGTCCTGCAAGGTGTCTTGGGGTGTGTGTGTGTGTGTGTGTGTGTGTGATTAATGTCATTCACATTTGCCTATGTATTTGTGAAGGAGACACTATAGAAAATGAACTGACAAACCCAAAGCCATTACAGGTCTGTATTGGATGTAATTGGAGGAGAAATAAGTATATTAGTTCTTGGTTAGGCATATGTTCCAGCCCATTCTGAGAGTGGAAAATATGCCTACCCAAGGCCCCTTCAACATGTGTCTGACGTGCCTCTCTGTGCCTATTCCACAGTCAGAGTACTGACATACCTGATGGCTCTGGGCACACCTTTCACAGTACCAAAACACTATTCCTTTAGAGGCAGCTGAGGAAACAAGGTCAGAGTGTGTTATGGTTCAATGGTTTTTGAAATGTAGTCAGGCTGATAAAGGAACATGTTTTGCTTTCCATCTCCTTTTGAAAATAAAAGGAAATGTGGTAGGCTTGCACTATCTACCCTATAAACACCCCTTTCAAGGTTTTAAATAGAATAGCAAGAAAGTTGTTCCTCTAAAATAGCCTTTCCCATTTTATGACAACATTTACAGAGGAAATAAAAAAAGGAACTTGATGAATTGCTAGTTCTTTAGGAGTATCTTGCGGGAGGCATTCAACAAGATCAGCTAACTTTAATGATACCTTTGGTTTCTCAAATCTGGTAAACAAACACAAGTCTGGATACACATGTGTGTTCAGAAACAGCTTGCCTGTAGTCCAAAATAGATGTTTTAAACAAAAAAAAAAGCCTCCAGGCTGTCTGTGGTAGAAACCTAGTTCTATCAAAATCCAAGCATGTCCATGCTATTTTACATCTTTCTAACACTGTTTACAACCTTACTTTAGGGCAGTGGTTCACAACCTTCCTAATGTTGCAACCCCTTAATACAGTTTCTCATGTTGTGGTGACCCCAACCATAAAATTATTTTTGTTGCTACTTCATAACTGTAATTTTGCTCCTGTTATGAATTATAATGTAAATATCTGGTATGCAAGATGTATTTTCATTCACTGGACCAAATTTGGCACAAATACCCAATACACCCAAATTTGCTGGGAGTTATAGTTAACCTACAATCAAAGAGCACTCTGGAGCCCACAATGGATCTGAACTAAACTTGGCATACTACCTACATGGCCAACATTGAATATTGGTTGGGTTGGGGGTGTGTGTGTCTGTTCTTGAATTCTGAGAGACAGTTGTAGTTCACCAACACCAAAAAGGAAGAGACCAGGTGGCGTGATCTTCAGCCTTCTCTGCCAAAAGGGGTCCTAAGACCATCAGAAATATGTGTTTTCTGATGGCCTTTGGCGACCCCTCTGCAGTCTTTTCTGTTATTTCCTTAGAGTGTGTAATTAATATGACACATGAAGGTCTTAGCAAGTTTAGAGTGCTCACATTTTCATACTAAAGTTGGTCTGGGCTGAAGAAAGGCAACACAATGCAAAAGATGCAGAAGGAGCAAATACAACTCCACTCAAGGATGCTTCACCAGGCTGTTGCAGAGCTATTATGGACACTCTAAAAAGACACTGTATATCTGATGGAAACAATTTGAGTTAGAGCAATGTAATTCAGTAGTGCCCTCTTGTGAATGGAATTGGGAATAGCACACTCATTTGTAACAAAAAGCAGCCTAGAGTAAAAGCTTCAATACAACTGAATGCAGAATCCGGAAAGCAGCAATACTTTTTTATTGAGCCAACTCCAAAGCTTCACTAGCTTTTTCAATGAGATAAAACTGGTTAACAAACTGCAGGCAGTCCTCCCATTCCCACAAGGCTCATCACTTTCTGTTTTCATCTGGAGAGATCGATGCAGCTCCCAGAGAGTCCAGGGAAATGATCCTAAGACCTCTGGGCTTCCCCATCCTTGTGATACAAGTGTCCCCCACAAGAAGAAAAGATTGCAACATACTATGATTGTGTTTTGTAAAGTGAAGGGCTTGCCCAAATGTTTCTCAGATACATCTATTTTTTAAAGTGCTCATTTTTGTTTTTCTCGTGGAAGCAACCAAGAAAATAATGTGCCATTAGATTGGGGTGATGACCATTAGCTCTGGGTGCTGGGGCTAACAATGAGAGCTCACCCCACTCCCTGGATTTGAACCAGCGGCCTTTTGGTCAGCAAGTTTAGCACCTCCGTGGTTTAACCCACTGCACCACTGGGGCTCCACTGAACGCCATTTTTTCTAGGAATTTGCCAGGAGACCAAAGAGAACACTGCCTTATTAAGGATGTCTCAAGGGAGACATGTCTCTTGGAATTCCAACAACTGCAGTTCCTAATCCTCCTTGATGCAGTGGAATACACAAGGTTTTATAAAGAACAGTGGAGCTGTTTTTCTCCCTTTTTCTCTAGAGGAAAGAGTTATTGGTCAAGATCACAAGCCAAGTCATGCTGATAAAACCGATATAAAATTCTCTTAGCAACGCAGATTTACAGAACAAAAGAGAATGCTCTCCTTTCTAACCTAATCAATGTGTAGCCAGAAGAATGAATAAGGGTTTTGTTTATTTTTCTCTCTCTCCAGGATGCTATGCTCTTGCAATGGAATTATGTACTTCTGTATGCACCTTAAGTTTCTTTTTGCTATTGGAAGTAAAGTGAAGGAAAAATCAGTCATGTTCAATTTTTGCCTACCTTTTCCTGAAGGGAAAAAGCAATCCATCTCCACGCTGCTTCGGGAATGGGAAATGCAAAGGGCACTGCTAGGGACCAGGCCTTCCAGAGGTGGACTTCGCTCTGTTGTCCGTACCAAACACCAGCCTGGTCTTTCACTTGGCCTTTCTAGTAACTCCACAGTTTGTCCCACTTGAATACTCAGCTCACTGCTATGGCTGGCCAGAAAGTCTTGTAGTACCACAGTTAGTTCACATCCTCCAGACAACTGTGAGGAGAGAAAATGGGAATGAGAAAGAATGTGTCACAAAGTGATATTTGCTGTTGCATTTGATTCCATTACTCAGAATCATTGATTAACATTATTATTTCCATTGCAATTATTCACAGTCTTAGTTCACTATGTCGTTTCTCTTAGTATGCTCTATAGCAGTGGTTCCCAACCTTTTTTGACCAGGGCCCATTTTGACCAAGGCCCATTTGACCAGGGCCCAGTCTCTAACATTAGTATCAAAAGGGGCAGGGCTTGTCAGTTCTGCAGAAAGGAGTGGAAATAAAATAATTAAAGAGGAAGGAGGTTCGTGAACTGGATTTTCACTCTTGTGGCCCACTGCTGTGCTGCAGCCACTGGTTGGGAACCATTGTGCTATAGCTTGCTCCCAGTTTGCAGCCTGACACATCCTATCTGAATAGATTACTTGATGCCCTGTTATTGGTGATAGCTATAGTCTGAGAGCTAAACTAAATGTAATGCAGGATTACTGTAATTAGTACCACCTCCTGGAATAATGATTAAATAGCCATTATAGGGATTCAACTGGAGTTCACTTTTAGGGTCAAATGAGATAAGCTCTTCTCAGTAGTTCATTTGAGAATCAACCTTCCCCAGGTGAAGCTGCTCTTTGTCCAAATCGAAAACGCTTACAGCTATTTCATACAGATACTTGTGTGCTCAACTCCTTGAGCAGACAATAGCACTGAATGAGAAAAAGGTCAGATCAATCACCTCTAGTACTGTGTAATTCTCTGTAGTTTTGTTCTTGTAAACCCATGACACAGGTATTCATTTTTTCTTCTCATTCACAGAATATTTGATCATGGATTTCCCATATTATGTCTAGTTTAGCAAGCCGTTGAGGAAAAATGCACATTCCATGATGTCTTTTCACTGTTAAAGCCTAGCAGGTTCAGAGCCTGCCCATTGTTTAGGTGGGAGACCATAAGAAACAAAACAAAGGCATTCTTGATTCAAATGAATGCCTACACAAGCCTTCTATCTGCAATGTCTATAGTTCCCTTGCATTCCAATTTACATTAACTAGGCATGTTTCACAGAGTTCCTCATAATCTGTTCCCTTAAAAAGGAATAGTTATAGCAAGATGGCTAGTTTTAAAGTGATGGGGCCCATAGGACACCAACTCTTCCCCTTGGGAGACAAACAATGGTTATTACCATAATTGTTAGCTAAAGAGTGCCATCAGTGTTAATGGTGCGTTACCAAATTAAGTAAAGCAGACACTTGCTTCCGTTTGTCAAACTAGAATGAGACCAAGGGGACAATAGAGCAAAGGAACTTTAGAAAAATTAAATTCAGAAATACAAATGCTGCTAAATGCAATCTATACAAGATCTAACACAATCCAGCTAAAGTGCAACCTATGCCAAGAGGCTATTTCTTGCTTTTCATTTCAGTGATGCCTTTATTAGCAGTAAATTGAATATCTTATCTCATTTTTGCAACAGAAGGACTGGAGAAAATCCATATGGATAACCAAAGGCAGACCATTAAAAATGTGTTCTATTCTAACCTTTAATGACCTATGAATAAAACAAATGTCCAACAAATATTAAAATGGTGAGAGAAAGAAAAATCAACCTAAATTCTTTCATTGAGACAAGCTCTGTTGCACTCCATTATCTCAACAGATAATTTGTATTTGTAATTCAATTATAAATTACAACATAATTGTTGTAAAAGAAGAATATGGTCAAATCTAAAAGGAAGGGTGGCCAACCAAGGGCATGATGGATGGATGTTATTCTTGAAGCGACTGGCTTGAACTTGAAGGAGCTGGGGGTGGTGATGGCCAATTCAGGAGGTCACAAAGAGTCAAATAAACAACAACAACTACACGGAACTTGAATGTTAGATTGCTGCTGCATGCAGTGGAAACAACTGCCCATGTTGGTCTTACTGATCTATATAGCTGACTGTGTAATAAAGACTGCTGATTTATGAGATAAAATGTAATTATGATCACAGGGAAATACCTGCCCTTTGCAATGTACTTTCTTGGTTGTGTGCTATAGAGTTCGCAACCAAATAACTTCAGAACTTATTATTTGGGCATATACTAAGCATGTCATATCCACCGAGAAACAGGACCCCATGCATCATTGGAGAATGTATTCCTATTTCCTTTTTTCACTCTTGCCCTTTCCTGCTTATTTCTTCCTGAGCTGTTTGACCATATCTTCTCTCTGGCAAAAATTGGCAAATCATTTCCTTTTAGAATGGACAACCTGGTTCAACACAAATTTTAACTTTTTGATTTCAATTGCACCTAAGGACAAGGTGCAAGCATCTTTTCTTTGGAATCATCTTCAGCAGCTTCTGGCTTATATATCTTCATAATACAACTAGATAACACAACTTCATTTTTTAAAAAATTTAGTTCAAGAAAAGTTAAACACAACCTGCATGCATTGCATAAAACCACTAGGTGTCCATGTTTCCTCTATTATGCCAAGTTATTCTGTTTTGAATTGAATGCCAGATTGAAGGAAGAGGAATACATGCCCAGACAATATATAGTAGGATCAGGCATGGGGGGGGGGGGGGTTTAAGCCCCCCCCCAAATTCTCAAAGTGGTCCATGAGAAGGCCTTAATGGTACATTATGTACACTTTTATGTCTATTCATATCATGATCTGGTCACCATGGTCAATTTATCCCATATGCATGGGGCTATTGGGATAACGATACAAAAGGTTTGCTAGGATAGATCCTCAGCCCCCCCCCCCCCCCGGAATTAAACTCAGCAGCCCTCGAATCAAAATCCTGGCTACGGGCCTGAGTAGGATGTTTGATTTGCAAGGCAGAATTCCTAGAAATTCAAATATACTCAACTACATAATAAGTTCAGCATCTAATTCTAAACAACAAAGACCAAAATTAAGATTGCTGCTTCAGGAAGCTTCCAAGAATGGGGATTCTTCTTTACCATCTTTCCTAGGGCTTATTATGGCCACCCCCAAAAAGTTTTACAGAACTAGAAGTGGTCTGTTAACCACTTCGTATTTCGTTCTGTGAGCTAATGCAGCTATGGTGGATCCCATTTCCTGGCCAACCTGTCTTGTAGAAAACCAGTCTGTAGAAAACAGAGATCACATTTTCTAAATGTTCAAAAGTTATCTGGCTATGTTCTGATTGTTAATTGGCACATCTTATACCACTTCCGCCCCCCCCACCCCCGAGCCAATGTCTGGTTGCAGCATTTGCCATTCAACTGAGGTCTACATATAAATACACACACAATTGCTGCCCACAGCTTCCAGAGAATGACTCTCAGCTAAGTAGTAGTACAGTAAACATCCAAAGCTTCCCCATCAATTATTTGTGACCCTAGTGCCTCAGACAAGGACTAACATAAAATCAATTTATCACACAGCTCTTGCCAATAGCTCATTATATTCTTAATGCTCTGAGACAAGACCAGTTAGGCAGTAGTACAGTACATCTGAACTCTAGCACATCCACACTCTTTGACCCTGATCTTTAGTTCCTAAAAATAATGTCTCATCTTTTCTCATTTGGTAAATGCCACTTTAGGATACAAAGAGAGTTATGGCCCCATCATAGCGGGGTGAAGGGTCAGATTAATTCTACCTAATTTTACTGATGGCAGAAAGTTCTTTCAAGTAAGAAGTTACTTGAACACTATTTGAAGTTTCATCTGAAGGGCCATGCTGCTCTTCTAGCCTCTCCAGAAGCACTGCTGAGCTTTTCCATCCAGTCTTTTCTGAACACACTGTACAGTATCAGAAGTACAATGAGCTTTTAAAATAATTATCTGAAGTTTAGCTGGGGATGAGGAGAAACCAATTATCTGACTCTATTATGAAAGCTATCATCCAGTTGCCCATATCAGGCCATACAGAAAGAATGTGGTAAGTTGTTACCCCTTAGACACATGTATGTTCTAACAGCACCAATAATGGCTCTTCTGCTCTAAAATACATTGCTGGGTGCTGGGGTGGGGTGGAGATGGAAGGTATCATAGCTTATTACTGTGATTTTCTTGTGAGAGATCATAGGACAGCTCAACTGTTCCACATGAGCATAGAGTCTGAGGAAGCATTTAATTAAGCAGTTGTTGAGAACCAGAGCAGACTGCTAAATGCAGAGCTATTTTTAATATTTCAGTAACATCAGTTATAAAGACTATATTTAGGAGACTAAGAAACAACAGGAGGCAATACCCAACAAAGAAGGCAAAAGCAATGAAAGCAAGGCAGGAAAAAGAAGGAACGTCCCCAACATATTATTGATCTTCCCCAATAGTAATTTATTATTTACTTACTCTATTTGTATCCTGCCTTTCTCTACCCTGAAGGGGACTTAAGACAGCTTTACATATAGCAACTATTCAATGCCTTTGGATAACAGACAGTTAGAGGACAACAGTTAGAACAATGCTTCCTCTTGTGCCTTAGCGGTGTCTTTTTCTATTTTCTTTATTTGAGTAATAAATCCCCCCATTAAATTTTATCAATTTTCTTTTACGGGCTTTTTACAAAGCACCAACAGATCGGCATTCAATAAAAGGAGAAGTAAAACATTAACATGAGCCTGAGCAGGAGAAAATAAAATATGTAAAAAGAGTAGAGATGGGATAACATTTATAAATCTCACTGTAGAATAGATTCAGCTTCTTGAATCTGATTGTACTGTAATCCTATAAAAAATTCAGGAGAATTCTCAAACTGTCAGAGTGAGATGTACAAATGACAATTAAAAAAAACCCCAAAACAAGGATGACAGGGCCAAATATGTTAATGCAATTTGAATCTTGTATCCGAAATGCTTGGGACCAGAAGTGTTTCGGATTTGGGATTTTTTGAATTATCTTGGAGATGGGACCCGAGTATAAATACAATATCCATGTATTATTCACACATTTCTTAAACACATAACCTAAGGATATTTTTGATACATACAATTTTAAATATTTTTTGCACAAAACAGTGAACCAAGAAAAACAAAA